GGAGATGACTAAGAATGAATGTGGGAAAAGGTGTTGGTCCAACTGACACCAAATTGGAGGTGCCCTAAAAGGTCCTGAGACTTTGCTGTCAATGCCCACCACAATAGTTAGGACTGGAAAGACCGGTCCTTGAAAAGAAGGAAGGGTGGAATGTGAGGCCCTTATGTCGAGTAAAAAAGGGATGGACTTACCCTCTACCACAACAGTTACCCAGAGCTCAGCATCTCACAAGGTGGGTATAAGGTGGGACAAAACTATGGTCACCAATAAGATTACAAGTATAGTCGCTTAGGTAATATTGATTCAATGAGGATCAAATTAGGAAGCACATCACGTAGCAAGGGTACATGAAATGAACAAAGACTTTCCTGGGAAGGAATGGGCTAAGGAGGTTTTGGTTCCCACTCAAGGGAACTGATGCCTGTTTAGAATATCAATCCCTGCTGTTCATCCCTAGAGGAAGTATGTGGGTGTAGTAAATTTTCTTTGTCTCAAAGTCTGGCCTTTAACAAATTCATCTCCAGCCACAGTTGTGATGTGTTCTTATCTTCTGCATTGAATTCTTCAAGTGCCCAGCCCTGTCTGACTGCCTATAATATTTTTAACTAACTTAGCTGTCTATAATAAGTATGACTAGTGTTAAGAGCAATATATTGTGTCCTCGACTAATAGAACTACGAGGATGAAGCACTGACTACAGATACATCTCTAATGGATCTCTTAATGCCTCAATTTTCTCTTTCCAGTATTATCTGGAAAGGAAAAAGTTGTATTGATTCATGCTATGCAGAACATCACATAGAAATCTCCTTCTATCATAATATTGCTATTGGGCAATTGTAATAATTTTTGCTCTTATGTAGTTTTATTCCTTTCCATTAAAATGTTCTCCTTCCATGTTATTAGGAACAATCAACTAATTTTAGTACCTTTCTAAAATGGCATATACACAGAAACTGTGTGAGATAATACTTATTTTTGTAAGCCATAAAATTTTGAGGCAATCTATTATGCCATGGCCTCTTTGGCAGTTCTTGGAATCTTTGCAATACTTTTTTCTGCTTAAATCTCAGTTCCCTCAGATAGTTACATGTGTTAATCTTCTACTTCCTTCAAGTCTTTGCTAAAATGTTATCCTATGTGGCAATAAATAACAAATACAGGATGTATTTAAGATAGCTAGGAAGTAGATACAGCAGAATTCAACAGTGGATTGGATATGGGGGGACAAGAAAGAGAAGCAGGAGTCAAAATTATTCTAGCTTATGTAACTAACTTATAGCATCCTGTGTTTAGGGAAATAATTTGGGGCAGAGTTTATAAATGCTTTTGGACCTGCTAAATTTGAAATGTCTAAAACGTATACAAGGGAAGATATCCAGCATGCAAACAAATATATGATCTGCACTGCAGAAAAGAGATCTGGCTTGCAAATAAAAATTCTGAAAACAACACCAGCTACAGGATATTAAGGGCCCAGTGCAAAAGAGAAATATGGGGTCCTTTTTTCAAAAAGTATACTAGGTCCAACAGCTGCTGAGTCCCTCTACCATCAGCTGCAGGACCAACAAACCGTGCTTTAGCTAGGGGAAGAAAGTTGAGCCAGGTATCATACACTGGCTTTCTGCTGCAACACACATTGTGAGGACAACCTCCAAGGGATTGCAACTTCTGCTGGAGACGTGGGCAAGAGGCTTCCATTAGATGTACTGTGGCACTGCTAGTCCAGGGCAGGGACAGTTGCCACTATGTCTCACCCACAATACAGTGGGTGCATGTACACGAACTTGACTATGTACCTGTGCCTGGAATTCTGCTGAGGACAGAGTGTAACACTGGTCCTGGTTATGTTGAAGAGGATGGTCATGGTGGAGGTACCAGGGAGCATAGGAGCTGGTGGCTTAGAAGCAATCCTTTTCTTTTTTTTAAGGTTGAAATAAGTGAAGATATTTAATCTAGAGGAAAAAAAAAAGACTTTGAAAACACGATAGCGTTTGTTAAATACTTAAAAGGGCAATCACAGGGAAGAATAACTAGATTTCCTATCACCCATGAGTAAAATTAATAGATATTCTGGCTGGCTGTAAAGGAAGATTTTAAAAATCTGACTGTCTAGGCTTTTTCAAGGAGGGTCAAATGACTAGTGATTGGGAATATTTCATAAGCAGGAGCAAGTAGGAGCTAAGCTACTCTTCTACGGGTAGGGTGTCAGTTAAACAAGTACTATAACCAGCTTCAGTCCAACAAATTCCCCTTGGGCCTGTGTGTTGGTTGCTGTAAAGAGGTGGTTTGGAAAGGCAGTAACATTGTACCCCGGAATAGTGACACAGGAGCCTTCATGTGGATACTCTTTGTAATTTGCCAAACACCCACTCACAAGTGGTCTCAAAAACACCCAGTACCTTTATTTAGCTTTACCCACTTCACAACTGCTCAATATGAGCCATCTGACTCCCAAGCCTAGGTCTGGCCTGAGTGCTTCTTGTGAGCCATAGTATTAGGCTGAGGAGCCTTTGTGGAGGCACAAACCGGGGCACTGTCCTATTAGACCTCATTTACAAAACAAAAATTCAAAGATAATGTTACTAAGAATTTCCAGGTGGCAACCGTGAAGCACTGAAACCCCAAACATTAGGACTTTCTGAGTATAGGTCCAGGTGTGAATGTACTGTTTGAAAGCTGGTGGGATTGGCCTTGCTTGGAATAGACAGTATTAAAGTTGTCAGACAGAATAAGTTCTGTATGGATAGATGAGAAGAAAAGAGGCTTGAAGAATGAATCCAGAGAAGTACCAGCATTTATAGGATGGGAAGAGAAACACCATCCTTGAGGCCAAGGCAGAAATTAATCAGAGAACAAGGGAATGAGAAAATACTTGGTCTGTATTCCCTGACGTGGAAAAGCTTTGCAAGTACAAATAACCTGACAACATGTTAGGAACATTTTCTTTCACAAGCTGTTCACAATATAGATGATAATTCTTTGGGACTAAGGGTGTAATTCTACATAGGCCTATTTGGATTCTTTTTGAAGATCCTATTTCTGAATTTAAAACAATGAACAAGAGAAGCTATAGGAAATAAAATGGATTAAAGGAAATAAAAGAATTTACTAATTGTATACTCACAGCTAACCTAAGTAAATACTTTATGTCCTTTCTAGCAACAGTAACATTTAAATAATAAGGCCAGCCATGTCTCTCTGCAAAACTTATCAAGCAAGAAAAATGTAATGTGTTAGTTACTTTTCTCTCCTTGATGAGACAAAGTACTCAACACCCAAAGTTAAAGGGGGAAAGGTTTATTTAGCTTACAATTCACAGAGGTTTCAGTCAACAATCTGCTGGCTCCAAGGCAGAGTGGCATGGGAGCCAGGACTTTCAGAGAAGAGACAGTTCATGGCAGCCAGAAAGTAGCAAAAGCAATAAGAGACCTTAACAGTGTCTTTCTGCTCCTTTTATCCCATCCAGACTACCCAAATTAGGGCAGTGCCAAACCAATCACTTACATGTAGTGGTTTAGTGATCACAGGCCCTTAACCCCTGCATCACACATTCCAGATTCAGCCACCTCTGGCCACATGAGTCTTTGGGGGGGACATCCAGACCCAAACTATAACATGTGATCTCTAAAATCTGAAGAATTTCAAATGACTCACTGAAACGTGTTGCAAAATGAACCAGGAGAATTTTTCTAACTGCAAATTAACATCTAGCAAAGTGTTAAGCCATAAAAACCACAACATTCAGCAAAAGAACTGTGGCAAGGAGTTGATGAGACTTCCAGGGTTTAGAACTGGTAGGAAAAAAACTGATTTTGAAAAAACTGGATTTGGAACTGTGTCTAGAGGGGTTTGTGGACTGACTTAAGAGTACAAGTTCTGGAACAGCTTCCTTGAGTTTGAATCCTAGCTCTGCCCCTTACTCCCTGTGTGATTTTGGGCAAGGTACACAGGCCTGGTGCCTGAGTAAGAGTAGGAATAACTGCTAGGGTTGTTATGAGATTAAATGACTGAATGGAAAACATTTGGAACTGCACACAGCGCAAAGAAAGCACTATGGAAGTGTCTGTTAAGGGAAAATTGTGAAAAGTCCTAACGAACCCAAAACATCTGTGGAGTTCTACTTAGTAGGTTTCACAAACTCAGGGGAGAGAATTCAATGAAGGAAAACAATCTTTCCTTTTTCTTCCTTACTCCTCCACCTCATATCATCAGAGTACTGTACATCAGAGTACAGTACAGAGTACTGTATTTTCTTGCTATATTAAAAACAATTCTTTTTACTGCTGGGTGTGGTGGTGCATGCCCGTAATCCCAGCACTTGGGAGGCTGAGGCAGGAGGATCATCTTGAGTTCGAGGCCAGCTGGGGCTACATAGTGAGTTCAAGGCCAGCCTGAACTACATAGTGAGTCCCAACAAGGCTGGGATTCCTGTTTCTCCTGTTGTTATGGTTTTCCACATTGCTTTAGAAAGGGTGTACAGTTACCTATATCGGCCTCGGGCTTCTTTAGGTCCCACACTGACTTCCATCTTCAAGGCAGGCCGCACAGCGATGGTGACCATCTGACCACTCCCTGTGCGCGTTCCGGCGGGCAGGATAGGGGGCGCTTCTCATGCCTGGCCAACAGCACTTTGGGCGGAAATCCTGCCTTTTGTGCACAAGTCTCTATGTCCTCTTACCTGTCCCTGGAGAAGACACTTTCTCCCACTTTGCAGTCAAGACTAATTAGCCCTTTGCCTTTCTGCTGTGAGTTGCAGCAGCTGTTTTTCACTCTCTTCATAAAAGAAAAAAAAAGCAAACTCCCATTTGTGTCCATATCTGACTTTAGAACAAAAAGCTGTGGGGCCACGTACGGGCCTCGCATCCCTGCCGTCCCGGCCGTGTCTCCTCCGGGTGCATCCGGGAGCAGGACGCGAACCTGAAGACGCCGGCGCGCTCCCGCCCGCCTCCCAGCGCCTGCGAAGCTGGGAAGTTCATCCTCCCGCAGGGCCGCCCGCGCACTGGGCATGCTCAGAGGCCGCCCGACGCAGGGCTTCCCCGAGCGCCACTGACACGCGCCGCACTCCCAGTCAGGGCGTCCGCCCCGGCTCCCCGAGAACTGTTCCTTTCCGGGACCCCAGAGTCCCCAACTTCCCGCCAAGTTCGGAGCCACCTTGGGGGGAAACATGCAAATGATGACCAGGAACGTTCTGCTAGACCTGGAAGAGGAGGAGGACGACGAGGAGGATGGGGATATCGGTGAGCGTGGGGGTCTCCGCGGGAGCCCTAGCAGACGCGGGGAGAAGTTCGGGCTCTGTGCGATCGGCCGGGGCTGTGGCCGAGCCCCTGTCCGCCCGCCAGCCCGCTGGGGCAGCGGAGCCCGTGGGGCGCCCAGGCAGAGCCCCGGGAGAAGGGGACGCAGCCCCAGGAAAGTCTCGGCGGACGGGGGACGCGACCGGGCGCGGAAGTCTGGGCTCAGAAGCAACTTTTGGGTCATTTCCTGCGCCTCCAACCAGGCTGGGGTTCCGCAGAGCTGGGGTGCAGCGGCGAGCCTGTGGGCGGGGTTCGGGGAGCTGGCCTGGATTTGGAGCAGGCTGGGACCCACCTGAATCCCATCTAAAGTGAAAGCGAAGGGGCTGCTCGAAAGGAGGGCTCGGGCCGGGCGGGGCGGCCCGGGAAGTGATTTGTGGCTGCTGGGCGCGGGCCGGGGATCCTCCCTCTGCGGAGCGCGCCGGAGAAGGGATCCTGCTCGACCGCAGAGGCCCTGGAGCTCGGGGAGCAAGCCCAGGTGGCTCCATTTCTCCTTAGGAGTGGGTGGACTGAACGAGGGAGAGCTGTTAAGCGAAAGAGCAAACAAAAGAAGGGAGAGGGCGTGCGGAAGGGGAAAGGAATGGGAAGAGCAGGGAGAAAATCAGATCCCTAAAGAGATCACTGTCAGGGAATGATAATATACTGGTCTCTCCGGAAGACTGATTAAATTACCACGCGGTCTGTTCTGGCGACTCGGGCCCAATCTCATGATGCCAAATCAGTTTTAAAACAGACAGTTCCATCTCCCATCCTAAAGCCATATTCTTCTCTAATAACTTTAAGAGTAACTTAATTTTAGGAATTGGGTGTAATTTCTCTTCCTTTCACATTTTTGGCCCTGATCACTTAAAAGAATTTGGTAAATTTCTTCTTGTCTAGGGACAGATCGAATAGAGAGGGTTACACTTCGTGGTTTAGCTTTACCTTTCATGCACATGAGAAAAGTTTATTAGGATTTAATCTTTATGAAAGTAGCAGGTAGTATTAGAGAAAACTGAAGCTCACAGGTTGATCTGTTTAGCTGCTCACCTTCAAACCCAGGTTTTTATCTCGCAGGATCTGTGCAGATTAGGGTTTTTCCCACCTGATCACTGTGCTGGACACAGAATGTCTGATGTTAGCATTTAGTAAAATTAGGTAGTAAATGATGATTACATAAAAATTTAAATCATGGGAGCAAAGTTTAAAAGGTTACAGTAAAATTAGCACAAGTAGTTTCTTAGGAAAATGTTTTTGTTATGGTGAGATGTCACTGTCTATATTGAGTATTATAAATAAATGAGGTAAAAGCCCAAATGGAAACTGAATTAACCAAGAGGTTCTAAGTTTTATTTGTTCCACTGTGCCATCAATAGATCTCAGTTTAGAAAGAAAAACTAATCTTGTGTAGTCTTTATCTGCTAAGGCATCATAAAATTCACTACTAGCACTGGGCTGTTTTTAGAGGTAATTCACTCATGTTCTCAATTCAGTGTAGATGTAAGTATCTCTACACCTCGTCTCTCACCCTCCAGAAGCTACTCATATTAATACTTCCTAGTGTGTAAATCGGTTAACTCAACATACTTCATGCCAAGTGGCACATATTTAAATAGATTTAAGCAGTTTTTTGTTGTTTGTTTAAAAATACAAATTTGGTACATGTTGCAATGATTTTTATATCAGAAAAGATTTGACCATGTCGATTGAAAGCTTAAAGTTGTTATAAAATAATAAGCCTTGTCAAAGGCCACTGGAGGTAGGCTGGTAGTGGTGTACAGGCTATTAACAAAGTTATTACAAAATGGTTTCTAAATATGGTAGTGGAGACTGGTGAAATTATAATAATTTTGACCTCTGTCTCCGGTTTTGTAATGTTTAATGCTATTGACTAATATATCTCTCCTAGTACTTGACTTTACTAATAGTTGTGTAGTAGTTTAAACCCCACTCAAATGCTGAAGATTTCTGTGAAATCCTTCCTAAGTATTAACTTTGTAATTTAGAGCAGGAGATATTTTGACAGATTTCTGGATATAACATATGACATTTTCATAAGCAAATTTGCATGAGACAAAAAGTTTTTCCAACTAGATGTACTCCCTGATTGTATCATAGAAATGTTTTATATACTTATATGGAAGTATGCTTTCTCATAGGGAGGTAGGGCCATTAAGTTAAAGCAGTGAGTTCTGCTTACTACTGAAACACTGTTCAGTACTTAAGTGTCATGGTTACTTCCTTATTTGGAATAAGAATCAAAGATGTAAATTTCACACTGGTGTTTTCCTTGTTTGCTTAACTCATGGCCACCAGAAATTATGGCTAAAAAAGATTTGCTTATGAGGTTACCTGTTGGCATAGAGCATTTTTGCAAAAGGCCATTTATTTTTTACATCAGCTTCAAAAACCGACCACAGAAGTGACTGGAAGTCTATGGCTTTAAGTCTATGGCTTTTAAGTCTGTAGTCTTTGTTGCACTGGTAGAGACCACAGGTTATTGTAACCCCTGGAAGGGGGTCATTTGCCACCCTACCTGGTGGCAGAAAGTGTTGTTGGCTGCTTTGTCTCCAGTGCTTTTCCCACCCCCAGTTAATCAGTGATATGATTCAACATCTCTTCCTATTGATGTAAAAAGTGATAGGAGCATCTTTTATGACAGAATGCAGAAATAGATTTAGTATAGTGTTTCATTTTGTTGTTTGCTTTTTCTGTGTTTTAAACTTTGTTGAGGGAAGAAAAGTTGTTCCCAAAAAGGGAGCTGTCAAGAAGTACCCAGGGCATTCAGATGGAAAGTTTTTATCTGGATGGTTGGTTGCTTGTTCTGGGTTCCTAGTTTAGATGGTAGATGGTTAAATGTGTCAGGTTCCCAGTCTGGTTCTGGCAGCTCTCGCTTGTTCTCTGATGCACACCGCTGATGCTCATGTTACTAGGAGGTAGACCGGTGAGGGTGCCTTACCTCTGAGAGATACTGGTCCAGGTGTGCTTCTGCGTTGTTGTCCTTATTGGTTCCTTTCACCATCATGTTTTTAGGTAGACCTGTCTTCCCACACCGGTCCACTCTTTTCCCTCACAATCCACTTCATGTTCAGATACCTGCAAGTCTGGCCTGAACCCCAGTTTTGCTTCATCAGCATTAATTGAGCAATCTTTCTTTGAGGGGTGCAGGATGAGATGCTTCGGTAGATATGGGACCATTAAAAAAATGTGTAAGATGTCTCCCTTATGTCTCCAAATGGCAGCAGACATTTGGAGTAAATCCCTTGGAAGTGTGTACAGAACTGTGGAAGCGGATGGGAGAGAGCTTCACAGGAGAGTTGTTGGGCCAGGTGTTGAAGGGCCAGGGAGGTGCACAAAGGTCAGGAAGTCTGGAGCTCCAAGGAGTTCCCTGTGGTTAGGCACAGAGGCGGATGTCAGGGGTGACACTGTGAAGCTTCCTCTACACTTTATAAGGACTTTGAGTTTCATTCTATATGAGGTTTGGGAGTTCCAAAGCCAGGCATGGTGGTACACGTGTGATCGCAGCACTTGGGAGGCTGAGGCAGGAGGATTGCAGTGAGTTTAAGGCCAGCCTGGGCTCCATAATGAAGTCAAGGCCAGCCTGAACTGTATAGCAAGACCCTGTCTCCAAAAAAAAAAAATTTGGGAGTTCCCTGGAAAGCTGATAGGATCAGATTTGCTTTTGGAAAACTCTCCCCAACATCATATTGTAAAGTGAAGTGGAGAGGGAAAGGGAGGCGTTAGAGTCAGCCTTTCCAGTAGTTGGATTTAAAAATGTCTACAGTGGCCACGGGCAAGCGGAGGAAGGGATCTGACAGCTTTATGAACTAGGTGGCATCTATGAGCATCCGATGCTGGCAAGCAGAGAGGAGCGCTTGAACTGAGCAATTAGAAGGAAAGTGGCAGCAGGAGGGGAGAATTCTTTGTTGTTCCACAAAGTCCTATAATTTTCTCCCTGGCTTTAGCTCAAACCATTCCTTTTGAAGTAATTTCAGCCTCACTTCTCTTTCTCAACAGCTCCTCCTCCCAAGTCTGTCACAAATCTAGGAGGTTAATATTTATCCTTTGCCCCAAAGTGCATCCCAGTGAATTGACACAGTCCTTATTTCTTGGTTCTTTGACATTATTATTCATCCTGTATTTTGTCTTTTGTTATTATCTTTGAGCTTACTATCTCTACAATTGGAGAATACATTTCTTGATAACTAGGTCTAGATCACTTACGTCATCTAGAAATCATGCAAAATGTCCTGAATATTGTAGACATTGCATTGACAAAATTTTTAAAAATTGTGTCTTTTCCTCACCCTCCTCTACAATGTTAGCTCCCTGAAGGCAGATGCTTTGAGTTTTAAGCTGTGTCTGTAAGGGTGCTTGTGTAGGAGCCAAGCAAATAATTGCTGAAGGAATGAATGACTTACTTTTTCAGAACAGTTTGTTTAATGTAATGTTTTGTGGTTTTTATAGTCCTAGTAGAATTCTCTTCTTCAGTGATACGGTTATCTATGTGAAAAATGTTGAGTGTACTTGTGCTATCAGACACTGTTGGATTCTGCACCCCTGACCTATACTGCCTCACTAGTCAGGAAACAGATATGGAGTATTAATTGCTTCAGTCTGTGATTATTGCTGTAATCAGTTGTGTGCTAGGAGAAAGCATGGCACCAAGTGGTACCAAGGAGAAAGCATGTAACCTTGCTTCAAGGAGTCCAGGATGGCTCTGACAGCACTTGTATCTGAGCCAGCCCTGGAAGGTCGAGAAGACAGATGAGGAAATGAGGCTGTGAAGTGTGACATCCAACTTCCTAAAGGCACAATGATTTCCCCAGAAATAAGCCCTGATACTACCCCTGCCTTCCGAGCTGTGACAGGGGACCATACATTAGATATACACTGTCTGTCCACATTATATTCTCTGCCAAAGGAATGAGAGTTAAAAAACAAAAAAGCAAATCAAATTATCCTGAAAG